CACCTTGACATGATTTCACTATTTAGCCGTCTGTCCGTTTGCGTCCATCCGTCGCCGCCAAAGGTTGGCAGCTCAGGTGCGCATTTAAATGCTTTGCCAAGTCGATTTCATTTAAGCCCCACGACCCTGACTCGTTCTCACCTAGAAAATGCAATACGAAAATAACATCGGAGCAACAACAACAACAAGCACAACCAATGAARCTTTGCAAATAAACATGTCAGCAACACCAGCAGAGAGTTCGAGCAACTTTGCAACTTAGCTATGCATGCAAGTGCATTAAAGTGGTAAATAACTGTAGTTACCACCCACTCGCCGGTTAGTGTGTAAGTGTAAGTGTGTTAGTGTGTAAGTAAGTGGTCTTAATGACTTACTGACTGGCTTAAAACAAATTGAGTGTTTCCACATTTTATACGCTTTTACCCCCATTTACGACGCCACYAAGCCGCAGCCACTTCCACTTTGAATAATGCACATAGCTACAAGCATTACAAGCATAACTGTATAAGTGTGCAATTAATTGCTTTGTTGCTTTTGTGACAAAGTGCTGCCATGCCATTGTGTGCTGGTATTTAGATATACATTTATATATTCTTAATTATAATATGACTGTTATATATTTTTTGTTTAATTTCCTCASGAGACACCCTGTATATTTGCGTGAAAAGCAAAATTGTCTAAAATTAAAACTCACTTTTCTCAAATTGTTATTATTTTTTAGTCTAATATATTTTATTTACAAAATTTCCAAATGCAACACCCTGTATAATCATGAAGAATTAAATTTTCTTCAATTTGTTTTTAATTTCGTTTTATTGTTTTTCATTTTTTTATGTACTACTATGCTATTTTCCAAATTTCCCCACAACACACCCTGTATAATCGGCAAAACTAAAATTATCTTGAACTYGTTTTAAAATTGCCTGAGTTATTATTATGTTTTTAAGTAAATATTTTTATTATATTTTCAACCGGGACAACCTGTACTATCAAATTAAATTCAAATTGTTTTAAATTATTCCTAATTATTTCARTTTTTTAGTATAAAATTGTATATTTAATTTAAAAAATTTACACACAAAACACCCTRTATAGACGCTTAAATTTAAACTATTTTCAATCTGTTTTTACTTCTCTTCAGTTATTTCCAACTTTTTCTGGTATAGTATATTTTACAACATGAGCCACCCTGTATAATCAAGAAAATTTTAATTATTTTCAATTTGCTTTCATTTTGCATTGATTATAAGTTTTCCTCTAAGTGCCACTATACTTTCTGCAAAATTTCCACAGTAGACACCCTGTATTGTCTCGAAAAGTAGTATTATCTTCAATTTGTTTCAACTTTGTCTGAATTATTATTATTTTTAATAAGTATTTTTTGTACTTTTAGTATTTTAATATGAGACACCCTGTATAGTCGGCTAGATTGAAATTATTTAAAAACTTTTTACTCCTCTTCAATTATTAATATTTTTTGTGTGATATTATAATAAATTTTATTTTCAAAATTGCTCACTGTACAATCATGAAAATTAAAATTATATCTTATTTTCACAAATTTTACTTGAAGCACCCTGTATAATAGCGTATATCCAAATTAACTCTCGAATTTGCTTAACTATTATTTTATTTTTAAACACTATAATTTGTATTTTGAAAATTGCTACTTTAAGCACCCTGTAAAGTCGCGTAAACCGCAATTATGTTCTTCATATTCAATATACATATTTCTAGTTTTGCATAAGTAATAATTATTTTTTTAATAATAATAATAATAACCGAATGTTTAAAAAATTTGACCCAAGGCACCCTGTATAATCGCAAAAATTTTTWTTGTCTTTATTTAAACTGATCTCAACTTAGCGTAGTTATTATGTTTTTTTATTATGTTTTTACATTTTATACTTGAAGCACCCTGTTTAATGGCGAAAATCCGAATTAAAATTCGATTTGACTTAATTTTTAATTTTCCTAATATTTTTTATTCTATAATATTTTGTATTTTTCAAAATCTCTACACGGCACACCCTGTATAGTCTTTTAACTCTACGTCATTAACCGGAGATATTATTTATTTTATGTAGTATATTTTGTGTTTTCGAAATGTATACTTGAAACACCCTGTATGCTCGCGAAAATAGAAATTCTATATAGTTAAATTTCGATGCTTCTAAATTCTTGTAATTTTTTCTAATGTAATATATAGTATTTTAAAAATGTCTACACGAAGCGCTCTACATAATCGCAAAATTTCATAATTTTGTTTTCAGTGTTTGTTACAAAAAAAGCATGATTCAAGAAAAAAATATTTATTGTAAAAAAAAAACTACAACAATAATTCAAAATCTCAGTATTTTCGAAATGCAAAATGTCAAAAATGTTTGAAAACTTTGAAATGTTTATTTTTTTCATATTTAAATTTTTACTTTTTCACATTTAAATTTATATTTTTTTATATCATGTGCTTTTATTTTAGTCTCTTTAAAATTTATGGTTTATTGAAGTGTGCTAAAATTTGAAGTGCTCTCCTCGCGTTCTCTTAAACTTTGGCCATCTACTCAATGTAAACGAGGCATTACGCAACTGTCGGTGATATAAATTACTTMGAAATTACATAACCTTGCAACAAACACAAAAGCCGCAAACTATTTCCACAAAAACGAAAAATAATAATAATACTAATTAATAACAYAGCGACAGAGCAGCATGCAGTCAATTTGATTATAATTATGTAATAATGAATGCCACAATTGGAGCATTTGTTTGTGGTTTCGGCCGATTACGAATTTTGCGGTTTTCATTATGAAATTACCAGCTGAATTCCTTTGTGTCGTATTTTCATATCTCGATTTTAATAATACTCGTTTTTTTTTTTTGGCTTTGTGACTGTCGCTGTGTTTTTTGCGGTGTAGCCTGCTTTGACAGAAATGTATGATAACAGTGGTGAACAAACAAAATTTGGATAGGTGAAGATTTTTTTCCTAAAAACAAATATTTTTTTGGTGCCTCATTAGATATATAGTATTATATATGTATTTAAGATCAAAAGATCTTCAAAAACAAATAGTCTTCTTCATCAGTTSTGTTTTGAAAACCAATCATATTAATGGAGCCAACAAACAGCCCTGATCGGAACTGTTTTTATACTAATAAGTTCTCAGTGAGGAGGTCTGGAACAGATCCCAATAATGAAAGAACTGATCAGGCATCTGAACAGTTATTATACTAATAAGTTCTTACTGATCAGATGTGCAACGAATCTGAATATAAAAATCTGAAAGTAAGAGCGGTAATCAGGCATCGTTGAAAAATTCTCTCAAGCCTTCAATGCTGTTTTGAAAACTGATATAAATTTTGCAAAAGTTATCAGTTATAATTTAAACAACTTTCCAATCTCCATCCGGGTTTACTCATCTTTACTGTTATAAGAAGCGAACATAATAATTAGGAAAAGTAATCACTCACGATTATATCAAATCTCCAAAACTAAACACTTAATATATCAAATATTTTTCTAAACAAAAACATTGAAATGCATACTACGTAGTATTTTTCAAACAATTTTTTATTTGATTTAAAACTTGTTCTTCAAATTCTCATGGCTCACCAAAAAAGCTTTTGAGTTCATTTTTCAAATTCATAATATCCTTGAATATTTTTTTGGAAAATATAACTGCACATATCGTTTGACGGGAACTGAAATTATATTGTCGAATTTTCATGTTCACTACTGTTTTTGAAACTCGTTACCAAATGTTACTGCCACACGAAATTATAAATATTTATATAATGATTTCTTTTTACAGAAATTTTTCTGTTTGTCAAGTCTATATCTGAGCTTTGCTTCCTTCCCGATCGGCGCCACAAACGCCTAAGCAAGTTGGCTAATAACTCAAAATTTCATCCTTTTGGACTTTCATTTTACGCATGTTCTGTGGAAATTTCTTAGCTGTAATGCGTAAATTAGTGAGAAGAGTACATTTCATTCTAGGTGGGATTAAAATTTATTGTGTAAAATTCTTAGAGCCATTTACCATAGGAGAACCAGAAAGAAAAATTTAGTATAAATTAAAATTTATTGCCGATACTTTAAGCACCCTTTTTTCAATGACTGGATAACAGGCACCTGTCAGTTAAGTTCTGGTTAAATGAAGGTTATTTACCGAAAGAAGGTGGCTTGGTTAAGTTAACCAGAACTTAACTGTCATATGGCGAAAATGCTCCTAAATGTTTAAAATTATGTTAATTGATATTGCTATCGATATTGTTATTGATATTGATATTGTTATTGATATTGATATTGATATTGCTATTGATATTGATATTGTTATTGATATTGATATTGCTATCGATATTGATACTGAAACTGATTCCTGATACTGAGGTTGAGATTAAGATTGCAATTAATATTAATATCGAAATTAGCTTTTATTTTATTAAAATATTTAAATATTATTAACACATTGACATATAACTTTCATTCCATATTCACACTAATTTCGTTCACTCTCTTTCCAGAATCCGTCGACACTACACATAGCCCTAATACCAATTACGAAAACAAATCGTCAAATTGTAGTCTATCCTCCGCATCGGTCACTGCCAAATCGAGCTGCCARCAAACATCATCAGTATACGATAAAATAAAGCATCAGCAACAATTGCAACAGCGTCAACAAGCGTCAAAACATCACTCGAAAGAACAACAACAACAACAACCAGGCACCAGATCTTCGTCGTCCTCCTCCACACGCTATCACGGTGTGCATCCACATTTTCACCACCACACCGCACCAGCCTACTATACCGACGTCAATCTACACATACACACCCCGAAAGCTAACGATGTTACGTCACTAAATGAGAATTACCAGAGTGTCTACAATACACCAACACAATTGGTGAAAGAGCATTATTTTTCCAAAACTAGTACCGCTACAGTAGTGCCACCACCAATTGGCACGGGTGCAGCAGTTATTGGCCGCGCCAACACTACATCGCCCTCGTCGCTGGAGAAGCGCGAACGCGAACGCGAGCGTGAATGCAACAAAGCGCCGATCGACAGCGCTAGTAGCAACAAGAGCGCCAACACAGCAGCTGCACGTGCCGCTTTTTTTCGTGGCGGCTCTGCGGGCAGCAGCGGCTACAACAACAACGGCGAAAGGCCAAGTCGCGAAGCTTTAGCGAAATCGTCGCCAGCATTTGGGCGCCCTACCGAGACAGGTGAATTGAACGACACCACATACACACCATACGTTGACAGTGGTAGTAGTTTTGTTGTTGTTGATATCAATAGCAGTAGTGATTGTAGTAAATATAATAATAATAATAATAATGTTAAGTCATTAGACGACAACAGCGCGACAGACATAACACAACACGATAGCATAAATCATAATTACAACAACAATAACATAAAATCCATAACGTCCCCCACATCACCGACAGGCACGAATACATCGACCACAACAACATCGGCCGCACGCAGTCGCAACTCGCATCGTTTCGCTGGTAAGAGACGCGCAGTGCGCGTGCGTAGCGAATCCCGACCGATTAGCGCACTCTATGATATAATATGCAAGGAGAAGGGTCTGGATATTGGTACCAGCACCACGAACGAAGAAGACTCGTCAGCGCCGTCAAACGACGACGACGCGCATCATAGCGCACGCAACAGCCATAATACTAAAGGCAAGAGCAAAGAACGCAGCCATCCACGCAGCAGCAGCAGTAGAAATAATAGTCTAAAGAATAGTAAAGATTACGCAGAGATCTCAAACTGTCTGACCGCATTCGTGGCCAACTCTTTGTCCAACTATTTGGGTGGCCAGGCATACGATCAAACGAATATGGATCACGCGGCCACCGCGTCCGGTGATACAAATGCAACACACGATCGCGCCAAGCGCTCACACAAGGCGCGCGCGTCCAGTGGCCACAAGCCAGGCTCCAAGAAGCGCAAGGATGTTGGCGGTAAAACAAAAGCGAGCGCGCCGCGCAGTCCTCGTGATGAAGAGCTGAACGGCGAGACAAGTGAAGATTCGAATGAGGCGTTTGCGCACACCACACTGTCGGCGCGCTCCAAGCATCGCGCTGATTGTAATCGCCGCATGAATGGCACTGAAAAGTCAGCCTCCTTGCCGCCGCAGTTGCATGTCACAGCGCAGCACACCACGACCACCACCGCCACAGGCATGCCGCAAAAGGCAACCACTCATACAAATAATGTTGAATCAAATACTCATTTGAATGTGCGCAAAAAGTGCTCCATTCATTGTCGCTGTCAGTTGGGTTGCGAATGCCGCTCCGCGAATTCCGCTCATCGCACCACACATTATCCATATGAATATCATCAATCCTCATTACCACCAAACCTGTCATCCGGCACATGTAGTAGCGTACGCTCGCCCAGCACCGCCGATGACGAGAGTCTCGGTTACTCCCCCGAAAAGCTATATATTGAACCTGTAAATATGAATTTAAGTGGTATCTCATCTAGCCCTGCTAACGCTAAACATGCCAATAGTAGTAGCAGTGGTGTAGTGCTTGAGCCGACGTCCAGCATACACTCGGTGCGCAATAGCAAGGAGCGCGTTAGTCGCGCCCAGCAACGTCGCTTGCGCGAAGAGATGCGTCGTCATACGGATCTGCCGCAATTGGACTCACTCTCGCCATCCTCGCTTAGTAATATTAGTCAAGTGGTGGGTGCGGCGGAAAAGGCACTGAGTGAAGATGAAGGTGTTGCGGGCGTGAAGCAACAAGAGAACCGCACGAACAAAGCGAGAAGGTAAGTAATAATCGTGTGTAGTTGCTCGTTTATCTAGCGCTTTTTAGTGTATGAAATCCTAGGATATTTTGGTGGTAGCCTGGAAATACGTTCCTGAAGTTGAAATGTTTTATGTTAGCGTCTAAAACACAATTTAAATCATATATTATACGGTTAGTATGCTCAATAATCGGAGTTCTTACATGCACTCCGAGTAACTACGGAAAGATCTGAGCCCAAAATATTTAAAATTCTTATAATCACTTAATTAAGGACTCAATATATATATATATATATACGTATGGGTTTTATAGCTAAGTCCACCCGACCACGTCATGTAAAAAGAACCTGTTAAATTCAGAAGAGGCACTGAATAAGAAATAGACCGGGTCATCCAGTATTTGAGTACCAACAAGTTTCCACCAATTGTGAGATTATCAGCAAACATGTCTCAAATCAGGGTTGTTCTACGGTACTCATTAAGTCGAGCTCCTAAAAATCTTAATACAGTGCGACTGCTATTTTTGACTCTTTCTCACTGAAACTTATATTTACTATATCGATTTGCCACGCGCAGTCGCATTAGCATAACGTCCCACTGGAATTTAGTCTTCTTCGTCACAGTGCCGTTTTGGGCTTCGCTTTATTCTGGACGAAAGGAAACGAGAATTGTATTTCTCTCATGATAGCCTCTTGACTGACTTTTTAGCCATCTACGAAACGCGAATAATCGGCTCGACGCAATATATAAAAATCGTCAGGCAAACTGTTCACGCCGCAAAAAAATAGCTGCTAAACTCGTACTAATTGACATACGAAGATCAAACTTCACAAGAACATGAAAAATTATTGTACTAATCTAGGAACAAAAATGTATCGATTTCGTTTGCGCATGCAGTCTATAATGATCAGTACTAATCATTTTAGATCTTGAGTGTATATTGACGTTTCATTACAAAATTTCGACTTCTGGGCCAATCTTCTGAATCATTTTTTTCAAGGAGATCTCTACGGTGGTTCTAGAAACTTGTACTATCAGAAGATCTGCTATCAGTGGAAAAGGAATGCGTCGGTGCTCCTGTCTCCTCCTGTGTTCTACTGCTGAGTAGTTGGGCTTCGGGGAAATTTTATCAGCCTTGGGCTACTATCGCTTCATGTTCTGTTGCAAGATCCTTTTTTGATCATAAGAAATCCAGTGAACTATTTACCTTGAGTGAGGCTATCCTCTTCCGATTTGTGGGGATTCTAATAGGCGTATATGCTGTAAGGTTGAAAATCTTACCGGACGTCCGATGCAGGAGCTGTATGCATGAAGTGAAAACATCTCAACACTTATTTCTTGATTGTATCGCCTTTGTGAGATCAAGGCTTAAACTCTGGAGATCTCCCAGATAATCCAAATATCTTTATTGGCGCGTTGCTGACTTATACGTTCGAATTACAGGAGTTCTAGATTTATGGCTTCACAAAGGTCTGCACATATGTAATAGCCAGAGTATGATATCTGGATCAGGACCATCTAATCTAATCTAACCTACTCGGAAATTACAGTGAATACATAYATCAAGTGAAAACTGTAGTAAATGGCACAAGAACCTACTCGCCTCAGTCTTTGTTCCGTCCATCGCATTTCTTGGGCCGCGGTAATGTCAGCCGAACATTCCAGGTGCATGACCTTAAATCGTAATCTTTAATACGTTTGCAATGGTCGTCATCAAAGGGGGCGAAGTCACGAGCTGGTGGAGCTAGAGAGTTCAGAGTTTTACGTGCTGAAACAGAGGGACTCTAATGCTTTGCCGCAGTTCAATAATGTATTAGGTTCCTAAGGTGTACTTTAAACAAAAAAAAAAAAGATTTTTTGAAATTCCTAGCCAAACCTAATCCCTAATTAACAAAAAAAATATATATATGAATATTTAGTATATGTTTTCTTGCCAACTACAATGTATCATGAAGATTAAGCCAGTCTTCGAATCTCTTTATCTGCTAAAAGCGGATTTACGCTTCAATTCATCGCCAGCGAAACAAAGCGACTCTTTGATCGCCAAATTTCAATAACAAAAAGACATCACCGGTTTTGGAACGCTTTCATGCGCTTGTCATTCAGTTTTTGAACCGCTGTCATAATTGTCCTCTTTGTTTTGAATTCTATTTTGTTTTTGCGTTTTGTATTTTCTTCCAATTTGTCTTTTTTGTGCGCGGCAAGATTTTATTGCACTTTCGCTGGAGATATTCAAAGTGGCGCAAATGATTTCTTACTGGTTTTCATGGCCCGATTTTTCTGTATACATACATATATTTTCTTCATTCAACTTTGGCGACGGATAATTTGGCGTTTCGCTTTAGTTTTTGTATAGTGTTTGTTGTAGGCAAAAGTTGCTGTACCGCCAATTAGAGTGGCTAATACCTGCTAATGCACAACATAACCATACTTGTCTGTGGCTCTATGTCTCTGAATATATATGTATGTATGTATGTATGTATGTATGTATGTCTTCATGTTATAAGCGCAACTGCAACTGGCACCCAGGGGTGCGGCGGCGCCACTCTGGCTGCGACTATCTGTTGTTTGAATAGCTGTCGGCGGTTATGGCATTGTGTCGGTCATCGTCTCGTGTCTCGTCGCTGCGCGTCTCTTGCTGCTCGCCGCACTGTTTGGCCGTCTGCCATCGTCGTCTATTTACAAGTCTTAATTTGCGTTGTCAATTGATGGGTGGTGGCGTCGATATTTACCATACATGTGTGTGTCGTCTGCGCATGCGCGCCGTTCCCTTGTCCAAATGTGTGGCGCAGCCGAGTATATCGTTCTTTATTTGCTTGTGTCTACTAAAGCCATGCAACTGGTTGCTGCCCGCACGCTTTTTGGCCGACTTGCATGTAGCGCTATCAACGCGCCTAAATTTTCATTTAATTTGTTATTAACTTTTTTGATAGTGTCTGTGGTTTCTTCGCAGACGCTGTTTTCGCCGCCAACCATTTGAAGTCGCATAACATGTATGGTTTACTGTTTGCAGTTTAATCATATCTTGATCATATTTCGTAAATTAAGAAACGAGTTGTTCATGTTCCGAAAGCTACTATTCAAAGTTCATTATAGACATAT